TAAATAAAGCAAATTCCAATGTATTGAGGAATTGTGTCGTGAATTTTCGATTATTATTATTCAAAGGAAAATTAGCCTAGATTTAATAACAATATTAGTTCGTTTACTTCGTTTCGAATCTCACGCTGTAGCGTCCCCAAAAAAACGAACCTCAAGCGACCCCAATATGTCAAAATCCAATATATGTTCGGCATTTGAGAGTCAGACTTAGTGCTAATTATCATTATAGAATCTTACCGGACAATTTTGATGTGTTTTTATTTTATATTAGTCTGTGGATCACAATCCATTACAATAACAGAAAGCCGCTCTCCATTTGAAAGATTGAACGTGAACAAACAAGACGTTTCCTTTCATTTAGCTAATGTAAATCTTTTTATCTTCATACGTGATTTTTCTTGAATAGAACTTACTTTTGAAAGGCATCAAGTATACATACAATCTTAATAAAATTATACAAGATTAGAGTAATCGCGTATAAATAAAAAGTTTTTAGGTGAAAAACTTTTTTTTTTAAAATGTATTATGGAATATTTGTTATATTATACACACGTTCGGCCATCTGTGGCCTTTATACGTTGTCTAGAGATGAAACATAGCGCTAGGTAAGACGTGTGTGTCAATAATAATAATTGGATTTGACGAACAGCCTTGCTATTCTGTAACTCACTTTTCGAACTCACGCAGCGGTTTTCACAGCGGCGGTCGCGGTTTCGCAGTTCGAAAAGTGAGTTACAGAATCGCAAGGCAGAAATCGTATTAGGTGGGCTAAAAAGTTCGTAGGCTGACACATAAATGGCGCATCTACTATTAAATTTCTATAATTTTTAGTTAGGCCTAACCCTTAAAAGATACGTGCATAAATTTAACAACAGCGTTTACTTTGTGAGATATAGTATTTTCAGTGAAGGTACTTTTGTTTGGAATTGATGATACTGTCTTCACCGTTTAGACAAGAGTCTCAAACTCATGTTTTCGAATTGACTATACAATTCAAAATATTCATTCATATAGCTGACATACACCTGTGAACATCAAGTAAAAACACTGGTCACATTATGATAGATTGTGTCAGATGAGAAGAACTAGATTCGTGTCAAAATAACGAAAGGGTGACATTTATTAAAGCTAATAATAAATAAGTTATGATTTCAGACCAGAATGTTTAAGTTTATTTCTCCAAGGAAATAACGGCCTACTTCACGATGGTACAGTCGCCAATAAAAGTGCAAAATAGCAACTGTTAAGCCTAACCTAACTTTTTTACCATGGAGAGTGTTCAGAGGAGTTGTTCGGATTAATACCTGCAGATTAAATTTCATCATCGGATTTCGAGGCAAAATACGAAATTCCACCCATATCACCCCGACGTAAATCGTTCCACAACTGAGCGTTTCTTCAAAAAAAAAAAAGAAAAAAAGTATTTCCGAACCAATTCGACGTAGGGTCCTTCAGGAAAAGAGCGTACCAATTCTTAAAAGGCCGGCAACGCACTCACGAGCCCTTAGGCATTGTGAGTGTTCATGAGCGGTATCACTTAACACCAGATGAGCCTGCACGTTTGCTCCCTATTCTATAAAAAATAACTAACTTGTTTTTACATTCCTATTTAGTGGTAATTTGTAATGGACTACAGTTTTGACTATTTGATTTTTTAATCCACCAATGCACTTACTTATTAATTATCGCGTGCCTGATGTTACTGTAGGGGTAGGACCCCTACAGGACCCCCCCTGGAGGCTGTGGCTGAGAAGCTAGGCAGAAAGCGAGTGTCAAAATCACCTCTTCCCAAAAAGAGGATTTTATTTACTTAAAAGTTTTGGTTATATCCTCATGATATTTATAGACGAGTCGGAGGCCACCGGCCGGCGTTACCTCTTGTGCTTTTTACCTATGTGACATATTTGACAATCTTGCGGCAGAATTTGTCCACTTGCGATCTGTGCTCTGTGCAAGTAAATGAACCACTGTTTGGTCGGTTCCTTCGTCACAGTCGCAACGAAGCAAGATATGACATGTTTACATTAGCCAGGTTAAAAATAATTCGGAAATGGTTAAGCGTTGGATTTTAATTATTATCCGCTTGTGTTGCTGACTGTACTTGTTTGTTTGCCAGCAACATAGAGGGTGCTTGATGTATGAGGTGTCAAACGATTCATCTCAGTACAAAGACCCAATCTAGGTCGGAGGTAAGGTCAATATTACGTGCAGTGATTTAGCGTAGTTTTTGGCTCATGACTTCGCTTGCGTAACTAATTCGTAATCCTACTGGTAACATAAATGACATATAACAAAAAACAATTATTAAATATATAGCCAAAGATGGAATACATAATATATACAAAAAGGTTCAAACATTTAGGAAAGGAAAAAATCAACAAAAAATATTAATTACATTTAATTAAGTATAGTAATTTAATTAACCTAATTCGGCTGTGTTGTGTGTGGTGTGAAAGTAAGGGTATGTGTGTGAGGGTGTGTATGTATGAATGCTCATGATGCAGGTGAATTGGCGCTATGGATATTCTTAATACTCATTTTAAGTATATTCCGCGATAGCTTAAACATGTCGAGGCATAAATAGTGATCGTTGTATGTCCGGTCACCGGTGTGATAAGGTCTAGTTTTTACAGCTTTTGCTAGAGGTTATAGATCCATATGGACTTGTTCATAAATTTATATTTTGTTTGTGAACGAATTGCTGTTTGAATCAGGCAAGTTCCTTATTTTTTTTCAAAATCAACGACATCTTACCAGCTCGGTATGTGTAGCGTCTAGGGGCAGTTAAAGTATTACGTAAGCAGATTTCATGCAATTTATCCCCCCCTCTTGTCAGCTAAAGTAAGCGAAACTCTCAAAAATAATAGTAGGTACCTACACGTATTAATTTTTTCTAGGAATCTTCGAAAATGCATTCCGTTAGCAAGCATAGACTATGTGTGGGTAATATGTGTAAAAAAGTAAATAATTACTGTTGACGTAATCACCAAATAAGAAAATCAAAGACCCCCCTCCCCCTATAGTGCTTACGTAATACTTGAACGGCCCCTCTACACTCATTGCAGAAACCTGGTAACATTACCTAATTTACAAATTACTCGCTAAAAAAATAATGTATATTTTTATACCTGCATTAACATTGTAATCATAGAAGATTGAAATAATAATTCTTAAGTTCCTCGACAATATTTTATAAGTAAAAAACGTGAGAAACGAGCAGAAGTAAGGACGTTTCAGACGATCGTTTTAGCAGGAAATGAATGATATTAAAGAAAGGTTTTCAGAATATTAAACAATAAAACTGAAGATTCAACTGTTTCAAAATTTAAAAAGCCTTGATAACATGAAACAGAAAATTTGTTATCTATACCTAATTAAGGTATACTTTAAATTGAATTCTTTCACACACGATTAATTCACACACACTTACACATATTAACACACCCACAACCACTCATGCTCTAGTTAGTTTGTTTGTTACTTTAGTTTAGTCATAGTATGAAGTCATCTTTTTATTTTTCTGTCCGCGATGGAAAGGAAACATCATCTATAGCCCAAGTTTTTTTTATGACTATAGTTTTAACTTTATGCTAGCCCAAGTTTAGGATTTTCTAGTTATTTCCAGAGACCTTTACGTAAGTTTTTAACAGAAACGCTCTCTATATGAAATGCCATTGCAGCGGAAAGTGTTGTCATTAAGATAAGACCAGGTTGAGTCTCTCATTTACAACGCCCTACAGAAAACGATAGCGTGATACCGAATGATCACTTCACACAATTTCTACAAAGCTTGAACATTTAATTCTCTTGAACGTTTCTGAAACGTTTTTTTTATTAAAAAAAATATAATGGGACTAACTAAATATGTTTTTGTAATTTTATTATTCAATAATATTTTCAAATGTTGTTTGAGTTTTCTGGTGCAGTTTTCTTTTTTTTACTAGCAATAAGACTGCTAGTCGTGTAATTGTGTGAGTTTTCTTATTGTTCTGTATTGTTAATAAATAAAATATTCGATAAATAAAAAATATGAAACGTAGATGATGATGCCAACATCGATAAATAGAAGTTTAAATTGTTCATAATACTATCGTATAATTGATTTTTCTAGCTTTCCGATAGCTTCCATAAAAAGACAATTCTAAACGTATAACGATTTATTGTATTATTAATTAAAACTGGATGAATAGAAAACTGAAAATCATTAATTGAATAAAGTAACTAATCCTAATTTTCTCCATTAATTTGGAAAAGCTAAAAAGCTGGGGCGGTCGCAGAGCAGGCGGAAAATAATAAACGGCTAAAATATTCAAGTCTTTCCTCCAACTTCGATATTGTTCCCTATGGAGTAGAGACTTGGGCCGTGGGGTTCAAGCACAGGATCAAATGAAAGATAGATGGTAGATGGTACCGATTACCCCAGAGCTGGTGCTTTCCTCGCTCAACGAATAAGTATAGCAATACAGCGAGGTAATGCTGCCAGCGTTAAAGTTACACTGCCTCAGGGACTAAACTATTTAAATTTGTTTTAATTTTTTTTTGTTAATTTTTAATTATTTATATAATAACTCTAAGGACCACAATGTACGGGTCATCGGAGTGCTTTAAATAATAGAGGCTTTTAGTTTTACTATATATTACCCAATCGCGTACAACAATATAATATAAGCGAAATAATGAAATGTTAATTGCTATGTAATGAATGAATGCAATGTAACAGTCGAAGAGAGTGCCTACAGCTGGCTATGCTCTCGGGGCGTAACTACGACGATTTAGGAAATCGTCACGCTTATAAAACTAAAAAAGCCTGAGTGAGCAAAATGTACAGCCTTGGCTCGTACAATTTAGATTAAGAAAATTGTAAATATTTGACTGTTGTTTTGATAAACGAAATAGTTAATTTATTTTAAAAAACAATTGTCCTTTATTCTTAATAAACAATAACGAAAATTAAATTGTGAACCTTAAACAAAGTATTACTTATGTGCATGTGTGCATTTTCATAAGCCTTTATTTAATATCTTACCCTCATACAGCCAGTCTGGTACTCCATTATGTATGGTCCCTGGAATACCGGTTTCTGTTACCCGATACCCCGTTGAGGAGCGCGGGGCAGGTCTATAATAGATATCATAGTCCTTGACCGTAATCAGGCCGTGTCCCTTTGGGGTCCACATTGCGAGGATGAGTAGGGGACCCTCGGAGATCACACTGCCACCAACTTCATCTGGTAGAGGTGTTAGAGGATACGATTCTCTGTGAACAATTAAAGTAAAAAAAAATAGAAAAATGTTTCTTACGAATAATAACAGTATTTTAGTGTTTTTTTTTAAATAAACTCTAAACTAACTCTAAACTTTTAAATATAATCCATTAAAACAAAATTAACTAATTTTTATTTAGAGGGTAAAGAGTTCGACTGCTCTTCAGCAATTGGCTGCCACATGGAGTGCCCCAGTTTGATGATTTGATTTAAAGTCATTTCACTTAAAATTTATAATACAACGCGCGTGTCTTAATATAAATCTTATTTAGTGTAATATATATTAGGTTCTTACATATGAAATTGGCGTTTTGTATGGGAGGACAAAAAGTAGGAGTAGAAGTAAGGAGTGATTCTTTTCTGATTTTTGCTTGGATAAATATATAATATTGCGTTTTTTAAAGAAGTATTTACTACGACTCTCATCCCTGAAGTCGTTGGTTCGATTCCCAGCCATTCTCTAATTCACTTTCTGCCCTGCAATTCTGTAACTCACTTTTCGAACTCACACAGCGGTTTTCGCATCGGCGGTCGCTCTCAAATCAGTCGTGAAGCAGTCATTTTATGATTTGGCATTCTGATAAACAATACACTACAAGCTCCCACCTTTTCCGAATCGCAAGGCTGTCTTTACATCTAACACCTGTTCATACGGTGAAGGAAAAATTCGTGAGGAAACCGTCATGTCTTAAATCCAAAGATCGACGATCTGTGTCAGATAGAAGGCTATGAAATAAAATAAATTATCGTGGCGAGCCTTCCCGATAGCTTTGAGATAATCCCACCCACCTTGAACCTTTGATCCTACCCGTAGGGCTCCGTCTGTTACCTTAGGGCTCTTAGTGCAGACATCCCGTACTTAATTATATATTCACTATTGATGTGTTAGGGTCCGTCTGTAGGGCTTTGGGATACGCAGGGTTGTTAGGTTCTTACATCGTACCCTCTCATATATTTAGTTATCTAGTGCAGCTTGCAATACATACATTACATATACTATACAGATATTCCTGACATTTAATACATATAAATTTAACCACACATTTCACAGTCCACTGGCTGGCAAGCTGAACTTTGGTCCTTCGATCCTCTCACATCATATACACAAGATATTATTATTAATTTCCATTAATGTGTAGTTTATCTTTTCATTATATCATCTTAAAACAAACAGCAAAGCAAATGAAATATTTTAATATTAGTTTACTAAAATTAAAATATTTTAATAATAGTTTAATATATAAATATTAGCCTACATCTAGATTTTTAAATATATAATTATTCCTAACTTATCATTTTAACCCTAAATAATTCTTTAATAAATTTTTGAAATTACCATAAAATAAAAATATCCAAATAAATATCAAAAGTAAAACAACTGAACAGTTAAACAAAGCATTCCATTTTTAAATTCTAACAGTTGACAATTTCGAAATGGGCATTTATAACAAATGGAGTGAAATGAACTCCTACACTGCCTTGAAAGAAATACGTCCTCGGAATATCAAAGATAAGGTATGCTTACTTAAAATACACAGTGCAGTATTGCGGCGACATTATTTCCGAACGTTAGGGCTGGCACAAATAATTTACAGAAATTTAATAATACTAAAACCGTATAAGGATTTAAGGTTTTTACGTGTATTACGTCCACAGTATATATGTGTGTGTTTGTGATTAAAGTACTAAATGTTTTATGTTGTTCATATGGATTCGAGAATGGTTTAGATTTACAATTAGATTTTTTTTGTTAACGCTAGCTAACTACTAGGTAAAACTAGTACGAAAACATTGGAAGGCCTCTGTAAAAAATGCCTTGTTACCGCGCAGACGTGAAATACTAGACAAGGTGATACAGATGGAATCACGTGTTGTATCTGGACTAAACTCTAACTATAATATAATAACTTGTTCATCCACTACAGTAGCCCAACAATTAATTAAAAATATTAATTTACCCAATACACAAATAAATTAAAAAGTCGTTGTTCTAAACACATAGGTATACAATTTTTTTGGAAGCTTGATTGTGCAAACTTTGCTTTGGCCAAAATTATTTATAAGAAATTTATTTCGCACACAAAACACTACAGTTTAATATCAGTTAGCAATGATTCAACTTCAGTATTTAGAAATTTTCACTGTTCAAGCCTATGACTCGCCCTCTAGCCCTGCGATTCTGTAACTCACTTTTCGAACTCACACAGCGGTTTTCGCATCGGCGGTCGCTCTGAAATCAGTCGTGAAGCAGTCATTTTATGATTAGGCAGTATTGCCAAAAGTAAGCCTATAAAAAATTCCCTTTTACATATAAAATTTTCAATTCATAAACTCCTCGAAGACAACCTTAACGTAGCAGATGTAAACTGCACATCTACGTATATTTTTTAAGCGATGAATAACGACCCTCGAGACTTATATTGAAAATGTACCTATATTTGTTGTATCGTTATGAGTAGAGAATTTGTACATCAAATATGAAAAGAGGTATTCTTTAATATTGTGGCCTTGTTGGTAAACTAAAAGAAGGTTTTTGTGTGTGAGTGCAGCCTTTTTTTTTAATGGATCTGGCACGATTTGTGCATTAGCCAGCGTCAAGTGTAGGATTTTTTATAATTCGCGCTTGTCTTTAGAAATTCGACCGTGTCCTCCATGTACGGTTTAAGCACTCGCCCGGTACCGCACAACCCTCCCAAAGGCCGAGAACAAATTTAAATTTAATTAAAACTTGCCCTCGAACCGGGAATCGAACCCGGTACCCTTCACCTAGCTGCCACTTAATAAGACGGCTAGGCTATGAAGCTTCTAATACAGCCTTTTATGTCTTAAATAAAAAAAAAACTTTAAAAAAACAGAATGAGAATGTAAAATGGCGACAGTATGTGTTTGATTGTAACTGGTCAAATACATACTTTGTAACTGGTCAAAAGGAGGCAAATGGGCAGGAGGCTCATCTGATGTTACATAGTACCGTCGCCCATGGACATAATAGTCATGTATATTTGTATATTCTTCGCAAATATAATAGAATAAACACTACTTACTATCAATTATGAAAAAAAAAAAACATTGTTGAGTGCCTATCTGATACTTAATGCTCTATTTTACTAGTAATTTTTTGCATAACAATAAGTATAAAAAATATTATTAAAATCTGAAAAATTTGGAAGTATAGTATTTTTATTATTTTTTGTAACATTATCTTAATATATATATTTCTTCTGTGCGTGTGTATGTGACTGAACTCCTCCTAAACGACTGGACCGATTTTGATGAAATTTTTTGTGTGTGTTCAAGGGGATCTGGGAATGGTTTAGATTCACAAATCAGCCCGACAGATGGCGCTGCAGTCGGTACTTTCATACTTTGTTTAATATCTTAATCGGTTGAAATATCATGCAGGACAACGTCTGTGGGGTCCACTAGTCTTAATATATATATTTCTTCTGTGCGTGTGTATGTGACTGAACTCCTCCTAAAACGACTGGACCGATTTTGATGAAATTTTTTGTGTGTGTTCAAGGGATCTGGGAATGGTTTAGATTCACAAATCAGCCCGGCAGATGGCACTGCAGTCGGTACTTTCATACTTTGCTTAATATCCTAATCGCTTTAAATATCATGCAGGACAACGTCTGTGGGGTCCACTAGTAGTAATATATATGTGGTGAACTTTAGTAAATAAATCTGCATAAATTGTGTAAGAACTATAAAATACAAAATTAATAGTTTGTCATAAAGATAAAACTGTACTGACTACAATATTATTACAATAATATATGCCATTTAACAGCTAAATAGCTATTTAATAATTATAACTATTTTACAGAACGCAGTCTATGAGATAAACATGTGACACTGGGAGTTCATTGACCGCTTAATGATTATAAATCTACGTGACTTACCGTTTCATTAGGTAAACAGCAAAGTAAACGAATATTTAATAAATTAGTTGGAGGCACGTATATGCCAGCACCTTCGTGTTTCACCAGATTTGGGATAAGATTACTTAACAAATAATACGAATAATTAAGATTTGAATGTGGTCTTGAACAGTTGAAAGTTTTTAACATGATTTGGTTCATTGGACTTAGGGTCCTTCAAGAAAAGAGCATACCAATTATTAAAAGGCCGCGAGCCTTCTGCCTTTGAGTGTCCATGGGTGGCGGTGTGACATAACATCAGCCCTGCGATTCTGTAACTCACTTTTCGAACTCACACAGCGGTTTTCGGATCGCCGGTCGCTCTGAAATCAGTCGTGAAGCAGTCATTTTATGATTTGGCATTCTGAAAAGGTTGAAGCTTGTAGTTTATTGTTCATTAGACCGCCGATGCGAAAACCGCTGAGTGAGTTCGAAAAGTGAGTTACAGAATCGCAAGGCTGGTGAGTCTCCGGCCCTCTGTAACTTCTAGTAGCGATACCGACAGTGGTCCGTTTCTCCCACGTTAAATCTTATGAATTTACATGTCTGTCTCTTTTACTGTCGCTTTATCGTTTCTTTGAGTTTCAAACTTTAATTATTTTAGTTTGAATTGTATGGTGGTTAAGTATTCTTAAATTTTCTAATTTTCGGCGCAATTTTCTTAATTTTTTCTTTCACAAGCACTTTCTCCTGACAATAACAAACACAACAAAAAAATAATAAGTAAAATCGGTCCAGCCGTTCACGCGTGATGGAAAGGGAAATTGGGATTAGTTTTTATTTTACGGTATTTAGGTTTAGATTTCCATTTTACGGTCGACTCGCTGGTTTCCTCACGATGTCTAAGGAGAGATAGAGTAATAAGGCGCATAATGTAATATACGTTTTATTTATTTTGTAAATCGTTTATTGTGTAATTGGGGAGGTTGTTGTAAGTGTGAATAAACAGACAGTGGTCGGATTTTGTTTTCACATTCGAGATCGCAAAGTCAGAATGTGTTTTCTTGTTATACGACCAAGTTTTAATTGCGCACATTAAAATGTCCATTAATGCAACCTTAAGAGAATCG